CATTGAATGCTATCATGGACGTTGTGTTGAAGAGAGAATAATGATAGAGTGATAAGCAAAACCAAATTAGCAATCCTTTACTTCATCACTCAAAAGATGAAGGTCGATTTTGTGAAAATTTTGGCGGATCGATTCTCGACGATCAAGAAGTCGATCAAGAGAGGAATTCCCATGGGTGGGTTCATCATTCAAATAGTAAAAAAAGTAAAGATGTTCAATAAAACCACCACGACCTTAAAACAAACAAAAGGATTAGAGTGGTTGTCCCTTAAAAAGCCAATAAAAATTAATTTATTAGAGAATAAAGGAAAACGATATCTCATCCGACCAACAAAGAAACAAAGAAGGAAGACCAAAAGTGATGATAATGGCTAAGGTAAGGATGAGGCATAACCTATAACCGAAGCGGGTGTCTCAAGTGAATATATGGAAATGGTGGAACAATTAGCGTTGTGGTTGGATGACTTCCAAATCAATGTCAATATTCATTTCGATATGTTGAATGAACAAGTGTAGACAATGTACCACAATGTAAATAGTCAATTTGAAGCACTAAATAAGCAAATTCAGGCTATAAATGCTAATACCATAACCGAGCTTCTAAACAATTAATGCCTAGCTTGGCTATCTCTATACTATCTTTGCAATGCATTTTCCATCACCGTCATTGCCTCCATACTAAAGGCGACCACTCGCATTTACTTTCTTTTCCTTACCCTTATCTTTTTTATACTATTTTTACTTTGCTAATATATGCGCACATTGAGGATAATGTATGATTCAAGTGCGGATGTATGTTTAGCAATTAGACTTTTATTGTTTTTATTTTGTGTAATTTATGTGTTTATTTTGTACTCCTATAAAAAAAAATTTAAATAAATGCCATGTTTAGTATGATGTTCTTCATGATTGATGTTTAATGAGTGAATTCGATGAAATTTGATGAAATGAATGAGAATGTTTGAGATATTATTGTTATAAAAGTGCATGCATGCTAGAGAACCTTATGTGTCTTCATGATGAAATATAATTTAGGAACAAGTACTAACTTTAAAAGAGAAGCAAACCCTTTGAAAATTGTACCTAATCATGATTTAAATAAATGATATTTTGTAATTTTTATTTGAGAAAAAAATATGAAAAGCATTCCCTTACAAATTTGGCCTAAGTAATTAAAAATTCTGCTTTAATGATTTGATTTGCTTAGTAACTAGGAGTATTCATCATAAATGTTTACTTTATGTCAAACAATGATTTAAATTAGGAGTATGCAAAGCACTCTAGGTTGATAACTTGCTAAGTAATCGGTTACCTTCATCATAAATGTCAATAGTCGCGTAAAAAAATAAGTGACCACTTAGAAAAAAGCTATTAAGGCTTTCAAACTAAAAAGAATTTAGGATGCTTAAAATGGATAATTTTTCATTAAAGAAAATTTCTATTTATTACCTTACTTGTAGTGGTATAAAAAGGGGTAAAAGGTAAAGTTGATGTTGCATGCCTAAATTATGTTTGGTTATGAAGATGTATAAGTTAATTTAGAGACGTGCATTGATATGATATTAATATCTTGAACATGATTGAGTTGATTGTTAAATTTTGTTAGATTATGAATTAAGCATTAATGTTTGAAGAACAACCATATTGATATGACATTCGTTTGAACAATTTTATGGGTTTATCATCTAAAAACCCTTATGAGACACAACTCTACCACTAAGGGTAACTTAGTGGTTTAAATGCTTGTTGTATATGCTAAATGTAATCATGGTTCCTACAAAAGTGAGTTAGGTTTTATTTTATTTGTTTTGCTCGAGGAATAGCAAAGTTTAATTGTGAGGGTATTTGATGATGCATAATTAGCATGATTTTTATGCTCTATTATATTGAACTTTCTAGTAATTATTGTATAATATTATGTTGTTTAAGAACAAGATGACAGTTTTGAGTTTTGTAGAAAAAACGATAAATTGGACTAATGAAATCCAAAACTTAAGAAGAAAAGAGAGAAACCTTAAAGAGGTTTAGAGAAGTCATATGATCGTGTGAAATAATAAAAGAAATAGCTACCGGCCGTGTGACTTAAAGGAGAAAACCGTGTGGAGTCTCAAGCACAGCAAGCCCACGGGTGGAAGCATTCTATATGGCCGGAGGAAGTATTCCATACAATCATATGGGTGATTGAACCTAGCAAACCTCAAGGAAAGAAAAAAGCCACACAAATAATAGGCTTTACACATAATTTATAGCGTAAAGTCACATGCCCATGTCTCTAAGGCAAAGAAGGTACACACAAGAAGAAGAAATTTAACACGAGTTTACGAAGAAATCTATATGAGTAGAAGCTTGGCAACACGGAATGAAGAACAAAATTACACGACCGTGTGCCCTAGTTAGCAAGCGAGTGTAACTCTTAATTTCCAAAGCTCCAAACCATGTGATATCAAGTAACAAACCATGTGATCTGTATGTATCAAGTCGTATGGCCATGTGATGCCGACACATACGTGATGTAACCTTAGTTTTAGATATAAATAGCAAAACTAGGGTATTTTTTAAGGATTTCTCTTTTCCAACTCTTTTACGACTACCATTAAGAGAAATTCTCTATGTAATACATTATGAACAACTAAACTCCATTCTTGGTTGAATCAAGTTGAAGCTTTTGGTTAATCGCTATGAGATTACTCGGTTTTATTTCTAAACTTATCTTTATTGGTATTTTATATATATATTTTTTTACATAATTGATTCATAGTTGTATGATTAAATTAATTAGAGTGCAAACTAGTTATTTATTTGTATTACTTATTGTTTGCTAAGTATTCAAGTTCGTGTAATTGCTTGTCTAAACTTGCTCGTGGTAGTAACTAAGAATTAATGATTATATGATGTTTTCGTTCAATTCCTTGAAAAACATACAACTAGGTTACATCTTTTCTAACGCTTAGGAAAGTGGCTTAGCTTCATCTCGTCTTTCTCATCTTAATACCGTTATTAAATTAAATCTATTTAGCACTTATTAGGTTATTGAATAGCTAGAGAATTAATTAGATATTGTATATTCAATTAACGACTAGGTAAGGAAAGACTAAGGTCAACATATATGTTGTCTTATAGTGAATATTTATGTTTATGATAAGTTAATTATTTAATCAATGATCGACGACCAAACCAAAAGTGATATCGAAGTTCGACCAAAGCTTCTCTCATATTGTTATCTTTTAGGTCGTTGTTTGGTAATCAAAAATAGAGTAGTAAGAATGAGAATGAAAGTTTTATTCCCATATCAGTAGTTGTTTGGTTAAAAGGAATGAAGAGTGGGAATGAGAATGAAAATTTACTCACAACTTCATTCCCACATAAGATGTGGGAATAAAAAACAAGGGATGAGAATGAATTTTTTTTCAAAATAATAATATATTTTATTTATTTATTATCTATTAACTACTTTTGCTACCATCACCACCACAACTATCACCACTACCACCACCACCACTATCTTCATCACTATCATCACCACCATCACAATTACTACCACAACCACCGCCATTACCACCATTACAACTACAACCACCACCACCATCACAGCCTACCATTATCACCATCATCACAATCACAACCATCGTCACCACTATTTTCATTACCATCGTCACCACTATTTTCATTACCATCGTCACCACCACCACCATCGCCATTATCACGACCACCACCACCACCACCACCACTAGAACCACCACAATCACTACCATCACCTTTATTATTTTTATAACTATTATAGTTTAATAAAATTATTTTTTTAATCATTATTTATTTGTATACAAAATCGGATATTAAAAAATTTAAATTGCATTCCGATTCTTTATTAGTATTCTAAACACGGTATTGGAATACAAATACCATTTCGATTCCCGCATTTCCATTCCTATCACTTTATTCCCGATTACCAAACAAGACCTTACTATTTTATATTATTTTCAAGCATTTCGAACACACAAAACCTCTTTACATTGTGAGAACGCTCAAACAATCGAAACAATTGACTAATTCATTTCCTTATAGTTTCGACATTTACTTCCCTTGATTACATAATCATGATTAAAAGCTTTATAAAAATACATATAAATAATTAAATTGTTGGTGGTACGACAAGCATTCAAGGAGAGAATATAGCTGAAGGTTTTTTTTTTTTTTTTTGATGCTGTCGCACCCTATATAAGGTGCGAGGTCTACGAAATTGAAGGTGACTCGGTGATGTTTGGAGAAAGAGAAATTGAAAAAGGATAAAAAAATCGCTATCTAGTATTTAAAAGTCACTAGATAACCAATTGAATGGTCTGCAAAGAGTTTTTTAGATAAAAAATTGATTAAGCGAAGAAAAGATAAAAATACCATATCTCATCATGTTTAAAGCACACTACATTATGTACGAATCCTGAATATGATCTCTAGTTTTGATATAATGAAAGCCTATGTCAATCTAGGACACGTCCGTTGTTAAGATTCAGATTGATTGACCGAGTGATTTGAATTTGAAAATTACTAATACACTATTATCATTAATATTTGTTACTATATAGTTAAATATGTTTTATATAAAATATCTAAATTATTCAAAAATTAAATGTGTATGAAAGTGAAAATAAAGAACCTCCACTGCAAAAATGCTGATCCTTATATTAGAGATCTGACATAAAATATATTTAATTATGATATAATAACAAATACTGATGAAATGATGTCTTGATAATTTTTATTTTATTTTTTTTTAAGTAGGGGAAATAATAAATTCGACGGTGTATGGCATTATTTTAATTTTTTTTTTAAATTTCCGAAGAATCCTGCGGTGTTAATGATGCGGCATTAAAGGGGATGGCAGTGTAGGAGGCACCCTCGAAACAGAGTGTTAAAGAAAGGGAGGAAAAACGGAAACAAAACCAGAGACGCTCACGGAAAAATCAACAAGAAAGAGAGTACAAGTTGCTCGAAGAATGGAAGAAATGGACCAAACGGAAGCCGAGCCTCAGGTCTATTTCCTCTGTTTTTTTTTTTTTTTTTTCTCTCGTATTTCTTTTTTGTTGCTGAGAAAACAAAGGAAACAGTATTTTGTTTGTTTGTTTGTTGTTGTTTTCAATCTGAAACAAAAGTAAAGAAAAGTTAATTCAGCTTAGTTTCTTTCTTTCTTTTTTTTTTTTTTTTCAGGTAATTTCCTTATCGGAGAAATTTAAATGTTCGATTGACTCTGTTAGGCATTATCATTTTTAAAAAGAATAATCTCTAATAATTAAAAAAAAAAACAAAAAGAAAAGAAAAGAAAAGAAAGGAAGGAGTTAACAATCCATACCTCTTAGGACTTGCGATTACAAATAGTTTTGCTAATTGCAATGATTTTATTATTTCAATTCAAGACTCATAGTAACTATATGAATCAGTGGTTTTAATATATATATATTGTTTTCCTCACACATGACCTAATACGGAATAAGGAACTGATACCATGAACCATGATGCTTCAAGTTCCATTTGCGGGCTGTTGTGATGTATTTTATAGTCATGATTGTTGGAAATGTCTACTTTTATTTTTTTCTTTTGGTCAAGATCTTTAACCATATCTCATGCAGCATGTTTGTGCATTTTCTATTTGCATTTTTGCAATGTATGTATGGCTGTTTCATTGCTATTTCTCAGAGGTTTAGCTATTTATTTCAATCTAAATCTAAATGCAGGTCTATATGGCATGCGTCCTACATGACCATCGGTAAGAAATGTGCATGAAGACTGATATTCATATGAAGCTGCCTTTTTTTAAATGAGTTCAAATTTTCAGTTGCGATTTACTTACATAATCGCTCGGCAGTAAGTTTTTCTGTTTTTGAACTTAAAGCATTGTTTTATATGCATGACAAATGGTAAGCTGTTCAGGGTTGTTAATGTTTGATGACGTATTGGATTTGGTCCAAGTCTTTTTAGTGTAGTTATCTCACTAGAAGGATAAGTATCAAGATACACTATATGTTTCCACCAAATGCACTGAAGTTTGAATGCAGTAATTTCTGTCAATTCGTTGATCTTGTTAAAAATAGAAAGCAGAGGTCCTTTAGTATAGGAAGCTGTGTGGATGTGGCAATTTTGAAGTCTTAATGGCGTAGGAGTTTTAAATGGTGAAAAGTGAATGAGGTGGTAGATAAATTGATGCTACCGATAGGGGCTAACTGTTTAACTCTTTTTTTCTAAAAAAGAAAAACGAGTGCTAACAGTAAAAAGTGGTTGCTCTATTATAATTGTTTGTGTTCTGAAAATTGTATAGTATCTAAATCTAAACTGACATTTTCACAAAACTCCTGTACAGGGTTGGAATTGCTTACTATGATCCCAGTATTTGCCAACTTCATGTGCTTGAAGTTTGGGAAGATGGAAGCTCGGACTTTCCCCTAATTGATCTGGGTATGGGTACAATGTCTCTTTGCTGTAATGGAGTCCATTCCTTATTGTTCTTCATCGGATTTGAATTTTGAAATGGTGTTTCTTGATATTTGAAAGGATCTATTATGGAATATGGATTCATTGCTTGTCACTTGAATTATTATTTTGTCCTTATTCCTATTCCTTGTGTTTATAATCTTTGCTTTTCTTGTATCTGGATTCAATTATATCCTTCTATCATTAATATTTTTGTCTTTGGCTAAAACACTGGTTCAGTAAAATATCAGGTGAAGCCTTTGATTGTTTACACAAGTACTAAAAGTGAAGAGTCCTTCTTATCTGCTTTACAACGAAGTGGTATGCTACTCGTGACCTGGTTAACTTACAAACTAATATACTTCTGGATTGTGTTTAAGCTTCAAAGTGATACAGATGGAACAACTGAGGCTCCTACAGTGAAACTAGTAAAAAGTTCAATATTCAGTTATGAGCAAGCCTGGCACAGGTATTAGAATGGATCCTAACATATTTGAGCGATTCTACTAGGTTGGAATATTCATAGTAGCATGTAAAAGAGTGGATGGTCATGGTCAAACCCTACTAACTCAATCACAAGCACAAACTTCTTTGATAATGATTCTTTATAGTGATACTTGGAGCTCTTTTCATAAGTTGTAATACCTTGGCCTATAATCAATGTCTTACCTAATGCAGAGATTAGTGATGGACTTCCTGCATTTAAATTGTTCTAATAGTAGGTCATTCTTGCTGTGTGTTGTCAGAGTTCCCTCAAGAATGAAGCACTAGAAGGGCACATATGAAATTCCAAATCCTTTAGAATGTATCCCTTAGCATAAATTCTATTAGCATTTCACATATAACCATAACAGGAACAATAATATGGGAACAAATACCTTGCACCTAAATATAAGCACTTGTGTGATGAAAAAGTATATTCAACTCCAAAATAAATGTGCCAATTGATTGGCTTTGAGAGCATACAACTAAAATTTGATGTCTCTGTTTGGGTTTTGTAGATTGATATACCTTCGAGTGACAGGAATGGATGATGGGCTGAATATCAAGGAGAGGATTTCTTATGTAAATAGACAAACACACACTCATTGTTTTTTGTTTCTTTTCTTACGTAAGGCTTGTTTAATAAATATTCTTTTTCAACTTAAGTTTTTGTCATTCGTCTTGAATCGTATTAAACTCATTATTGTATATGCATCTTCTGCCTATAATGCTGCTTCCCCACCCCTCCACCCACAACCCCCCTTTCCCGCCCCGCCCCATGGGAAATTAGGCAATTCCAACATTTTTTCAATGGAATGTTGAGCATTGTCATGTAATAGTGTGAAATCATGTTCTTATCTAAGAAAGTAAGTACTTTGCAGATCATAATTGGTTCATGAGATTCAGTGAGAGCAGCAAGCTTTAGTACTTGAATTTCATTTATTATCTCTTTCATCTTTGTGGAGGATGTCCTATCCTCCTTATTGTATGTGTGTGTGTATTATATAGCACCCTCTTCATTTCTATTTAAAAAAATGAGACAGAAAAAATGACTTGACTTTAGGTTAGAATTCCGATAATATGGGTAGTGTCTTCTACATTAATAGATGAGAAAAGTTGGTTGTAGTTATCTTTTCAATGATGCTCTATATTTTGATTCTCTTCTTTTCTTAATGGCACCTGCATAACACATAATCAATAATCTGTTTTTTTCCCTCTGAAATGGATGGTTAATTTTGAGCTCTGTCAGCCCTTGCATACTACCATATTCCATGAGCCTCTTTGAGGAGCCTTCTTTTGAATTGTAAGTGGGGCTTTTTTTACCCCACTCCTGTTCTATTGAGTACTTTTTCGGCATTGAGCCCTGTTCTTCCCACATTCCCGCCACCACCCCCTCCCCACACGCAAAAATACTGTTTTTCTTTTCAAAAGTTAACCCTGATCTTTTGCTTTATAGGGAAGAGAGAGATTAATTTCGTCTTATTACCTGTGAGATTCTGTATTTCTGGGCCTGCTGGTTATTCATTCTTTTTGCAATCGTGTGTGTCCTTTTCAGGTCTAGGGCACACTTATAAGATAAGAATTTTCTCCTTCATACTGTATATAAACATAATCCCCTTCCAATCTGAAATAAGAATTATTATGCAGAATCATTAATGTGTCTCAGCGTTGTATTCTGTGTCTTTCTTTCCTTCTTTTCTTCTAGCATTGGTGACCCCCCCAAAGCTTGATCTTTCTCTATTTTAAGCTTCCTTTCTCTTTCATCTTGCCAGCTTAGTTCTATGATGGACATGGGAAGTGATGTTCAAGTGCGAGCAAGTGGAGGTCTTCTTGCCATATTAGAGAGTGAAAGGATTGTAGATACCCTTGAGCAAAAGGAATGTGGAAATGCATCAATTACTATTGATTCTGTCACGGAAATTTCACTGTATCTTTCGATTTATAGGACTTATTTCTGAACCTATTCATTTCCTTTTTCTCCTATATTGTATACTTTTAGAAAACATGTTAAGAAAAGTTCAGAAAAGAAACTTGGACGACAATGTGTCCTTCACATGCCAAATTAGAAACAAATTTCTTAAACTCGATGCAGCAGCTCATGAAGCACTGCAAATTTTTCAAATCGACAAACATCCAAGCCATATGGGGATTGGCAGGGCAAAAGAAGGGTAAATTTTGTGTTATACTGTCAGTTTTCTTTCTCAAAAATTTGTATGCTAATTTCTTAATATGCAGGTTCTCTGTATTTGGCATGATGAATAAGGTTTGTAAGAAATACAGCTTTCTATTAGTACTATCTATGTAGAAATATAACTTTTTATTAGTAGTATCTGTTGCATATTAGACTAACATAATTGCCTTCAATTAGTGTGTGACGCCCACTGGTCAACGTCTTCTAAGGTATCTAATTAATTTTCAGACTTTTGTGATGTTAGCTTTTCCAACATTATCTCTAACCAAGGCCTTCAATAAATGTTTTACCATGCTTTAGAAACTGGTTCCTGAGGCCCGTGCTGGATGTGGAAAATTTGAATGGTCGTCTCAATGCTGTATCCTTCCACTGTTTAATTAATGAACTCGCTTCTCATTTACCTGAACTAGAGCTTGGTACAGTAATATCACAAAAGAAGGAAAAGAATTATGTAAGCTGGCACCATTTTGGAACGTGGTTGGTTGCTTGATCTAGCTTAAGATTTAGAAAGAACAATGTTATGTTTAAAGTGAATGTTTGAATACACCGAGTTATTTTAAGTCTAATACTTTAGGATCAACTTTCAAAATTAAGTCTAATACTTAAGGATTAGCTTTCAAAATTATCAAAATATTGTTTGGTTACTGGTACAGAAAGGACATATTCCTTAACGAGATTAAGATATCATTTTTCCTTTGTTCTGAAGAACTGATGGTTTCTTTGCGAGAAACATTGAAGTCTGTCAAGGACATTCCACGTTTACTCAGAGTACTGTTATTTCTGTTATTTGTTATGCTATCCTTATCTTGGTTTTCAAAGCCTTTACCATACGAAATGAATATTTCCTGTTGGTTTTTAGTTACAATTGCTGCACAGAATGACCTTTTATTGAAAACAAAATAATCATACAACCTTGCTTATGTTCTTTGATTTTGTCTAATCTGGAAAAAACAATATCTCGCTTTTTGCACTCAGTTTATTGGCAATATTACAGGCATTTGTGAATTGCTAATTCCTATCATTACTTTTCTTTTTATCTTCTGAAATTTGTGACCCTTTCCTTTCATTCTTGAAGAAGTTCAACTCACCAAGCTCCCTGTCTACTGTTTGTGACTGGACAGCCTTTCTGAAGGTAATCTTACCTCATCATGCAGTGCTTTAAGTTCCCAAAGTTATCAATCCTTTTCTTTTGTTGATGAATATTTCTGAAGTCCCTCACCTGACTAGCTGATGCTGAGAATGCTTCATAAGTTTCATAATTACAGGATAACCTCCATTACAGATGTTCAGTCTCACATATTTTCATGCAGTTGATTGGTTTTTGGTATTTCATTGTTCCCCCATTCTCTTTTGCCACTGATTGCCACATGTCTCACAGTTTGAAACAGTTAAACAGGCTTATTCATTGTAATGTAGGACCCAACCACTTAATTTGGTGTTTTTATGGTTTCACGTTGACAGTTTCTTAAAGGAAATTTATGTAATGCTGTTTCTTAATAGCATTTTATGTAGGGCCTGAGCAGGAAGTATTGCTCAGCAATGTATACTGAAAGATTTTTTCAGCAGCTCAATTTTATGCCCTCCGAAGAAGACTTTAATCAAAGATTACTTTCAAACTTGAAGATTTTCTGTAAACTGCTTGAAAAGAACTGCAGGTTATCTCAGCCAGAGAGGAAGAAGAAAAAGCATACTTCTTTTTTCCCCCAAAAGATTTCTTTTCTTTAATTCTTCAAGAAGAATTTGAAATGATAGCTGAATTTTGTCTTGTATGAATGAAACGTGCATTCACACTAGAAAAATACACAAACACACCTATTCTTGCATTATGCCTTCAACGTGTGCCTGTATCATAGGATCTTCATGCAATATCTAAAGGGAGATTACCTTTAATTTCTTCTAGTTGGTGGATTTATAAATTCATACTAGAATTACTTCTGATCCAATGATACCCTTGTAGAGTGTTTGTGCGCTCTTGCATTTGGGCAAGTTACTTGAAGTAGGCATTTCTGAAAGTCTTCAAGAACAGGCAAAGTACTTGAATTTGAACATTATTGATCAGGTATCAAACATTTATTGCCTGCCTTTTCTGTAAAGCTTTATGTTGTTATCTGTTCTTGAGGTTTATTAATGTGCCATAGTCATCTTTATGCATGGTTGTTTATTTTTCAGGCTTGTTCATGCATCACAACTGAGTTGGCTTATGTCTATGAATTGGTTAGTCCATCTTTCTGGATATTCTCTTTATTGTAAACACTTTAATAAGTCACTTCACATTGGAAGTTCCATTGTCCTTCCTTTCTTTTCTTTTCTTTTCCTAGAATGACATGGAGTTCCAAATCTCTGTTGAAGCTATATGGTTTGAAACTGTGTACTGCTCTATAATTGTTTGTTCAGTTATATAGTTAAGACTATCTCTCCTGATTCTTTCAGCATGAAAAGCATTTTGTTTATTTAATGGAGTGTAATTGTAGCCTGAAATAAGAATTTGTTCAATCCTTATCTTTTGTTTAGAGCTTTGTTTAAATGATATTGATGCAACTTAATGGTGAGACTAATTTGAATGGAAGGAACCGATACTGTTTGTTTAATAAGCATGATTGAAGTAAAACTCAAGGCGTGTCTGGTACAAGGCTTCAATGAGTTAAAGTGAGCACAGGAGTCCAAAAAATGAGATCACTTCAATGAGTTAAAGTGAGCACAGGAGGCCAAAAAATGAGATCAGTCCAGGGAGCTGTACCAAAAAAAGGTGCATGGAGCTGTCCAAAGACAAGAGAAGTGCAGGGACCTGCACAAAAATCTCTTAACAAAAATCAATATCTCAAGAAGAAAGGAGTTGATATTTGACTCTGCAATTTATCATCCGTGTTTCATTTTGTCGCATTACTGAGATGTTAAGTGTTTGTGCTTTTACAATATGTTGCACTAGCTGGAATTATGTGTTAACAGAAGCATTTTTACTGGGATATACTGCATCTCATCTTTCTTCATGTTTGAGTTGAATTGTCATCCCATCATTTTGTCTGCCATAATACTTGATTTTTTGTTTTGTAGGTGATTGGTGTTATTGATACTAATAGAAGTAAAGAGAAGGGTTATGGGACAGTAGTGAAAGAGGGGTTCTGTGATGAGGTTGCAGATTAGTTGTGACTTCTGGACCATTCTTTTTTAAGACATGGATGTTTAATCATTTACACTATGTTCTCCCTTTTCTGTTTCTTCTGTAAAGATATTAAGATGATCCCTTATCCTTACTGCTGAATCCACCCACCATCAGGATGATAGGATGTCCTTCTGTTTTGCTCGAAAGCTAATGCTTTTTTCCATAGGGTTCTAATTTTCTCATTGGTGTTGGAACTCTGTTTCTGATAATTCAGCCTTTTCTTTCACATGTAGTTGGATGAGCTGAGGCAAATCTATGAAGAACTGCCAGATTTTCTGCATGAGGTGAGTGGTGTAATTTATACATGCATCAAATTGGAATAAGGAATTGAAATTGAGTGTACATTGAGATCCATTTTGACTAATTCTGCAGGTTTCTTCAATGGAGCTTGGACAACTTCCCCATTTCAGTAAAGAGAAGCTTGTTCCTTGTATTGTTTACATACATCAAATAGGTTGGTCAGTATTCCTTGTATTGCTATTGGAAAACATTTTATGTATAATTTGAAGTTTCATTTGGATTAATTGTGTTCACTGCTTGATATTACTTTGTCTGTAATGACTTGGATATACTTAAATGATGACTTTTGATACTACCTCTGTTACATAATGAGTACAAATGAATGTCCCAATATTGAATGATCAAGATTTTGCTATGCAGTGTGTTTGTGTTGAAAAGCCAATTTGAAGTGTCCAGTGGTTTATAGTTAATTTCAATGCCATTTACAGATTATTGAAATCTGAGTTTCTAATCATGATACCACATTTTATGTTCTTTACATTCCACAAGCCACTACAGGAAGAACTATTCTGTTGCATGAAAGTTACTACGTTTAGAGGTCGACATTGAATGAACCAGATGGGGTTTGCACTATGATGAAGAGTTCTTTTTTGTTACCACAAGGCCAAACCTTTTTGTTTATGAAAAACAATTGCCTCTTTTTTTTTTTTCCTTCTTTTAGATTGGGTAGTATTTTGGAAAGCATCAACTTGATAATGCTTTTTGAAGGTGTTGCTTTATTTTATTTGCTAAAGAACTAAGATATCATTCATTATTTAATATATTACCCCAATTTTTGTCCTTTTTAACTCCAAAAGCTTTCCAATAGCACACTTCCAAACCATTTTTTTGGCTCTTCATTTTCAAAAACAACTTTACCACATAAGTGAGATTTAGGTTTTCGCCGAAAACAACAACAATGCCAGCTGCAACCCCAAACATAAGTTGGACTTCTTACATATGGCATCTAAAATGCTTGATAAACTTGTGAATTTTATTTTCCACAGTGTTGAAGGATGGATTTCTTGAATTGAATGGAATTCTAACTGTTAGTTTTTGTTTTGTTTTTAAGCATGTTACTTGTGCATATTGGTTTAGCTCTTTTCTCATAGAAATGGGGGATAGATGTTGTTTCTAAACAAATATGCAACATGAATATAATGCAAAGCTGATCTGATTTATTTCAAGTTTGTCATCCTTTTACACAATGTGTTTTCATTTTTTCAGGGTACTTGCTGTGTATTTTTGAAGAGAAACTTGATAAAGACTCACTACAGAAGCTTCAAGATTTTGAATTTTTGGCAAGTTGATACTTGTTTTCTATTTTCAATGAATAGAATTTGTTCAAAAAAATTGTATTCTACATATGCTGACGAAAATGTATTATCAAATATAGTTTTCTGATGTTGATGGAGAGACTAAAAGATTTTTTTATCGTACCCCAAAGACGCGAGAATTGGACGAACTTCTAGGAGACATTTATCACAAGATACTAGGTATGTATTCTGAAAATTCCATTATTGTGATGCCTGATGCAAAAGATAAGATCTGATGAGTCTACGGTCCTTTAATCCAACTTATTGAGTGCTGAACTTTGTTGTATGGTACATAATTAGATAATCTGCGAGGCTAAGAGAAGAAGAATAATGCACAAATTTTTTTGGTGCAAGTATTATGTGTAAATGGTGCTTTTAGTGAGAAATATAGAATGGTGGCACATACTTTTAACGTGTAGGCACTTTGTTTATTGTGCTTTTAGTAAGAAATATAGCATGGTGGCACATACTTTTAACGTGTAGGTACGTTGTTTGTTTATTTTATTCCAATCAATTAAAAGCTGTTCATTTGTTAATATCTTGTGTGAAAGATATGGAGAGGGCAATCACTAGAGACTTGGTTTCGCATATGCTTCTATTTTCTGACCATCTGCGTAAGGCTGTAAATTTTGCAGCTGAACTTGATTGGTAAGAATCATCTATCTACTGGCTCTCACTCTCTCTCCTACAGCAAGTCACCGTGTATGTTAATTGCTTTTTCTATGTATGACTGACCATGTAACATGATATTTTCATTTAGCATTTTGTCAATGGCCGTAGTTGCCCGTCAAAACAATTATGTGAGGCCTATTTTGACTGAAGAAACCTTGCTTGACATTCAAAATGGAAGGTGAAAATTGATTGGATCATATGAACTGCTTTTTATTGAAGAAAATCCCCTGTAGGGATGGATCTACTGATTGAGTGTGTTAAGGAGTAGTCTACACACTTTTGCAGACATGTTTTGCAGGAAATGACCGTAGACACATTTATTCCTAATGATACAAAGATTCTTCATGATGGTAAATTTATGCCACTCATGTCATTGATGTCAATGAAGTCTATTCCATCTTAATATACTAGTTTTCTTGCTGAAATTTGAAGTTTGTGTTGCTTAAGGAAGGATCATCATCATCACAGGTCCAAATTATTCTGGGAAGAGTATATATATAAAACAGGTCAGTAATAATTATCAGGAGGACTTTGTGAGTGCATGTATGATGTGTTTGTGCACATTCAAATATGGATGGTGTGTGTCTTATGCTCGTTGTTATTCCTTCAAATTGTGGACGTGATTCATCTTTCATGAAGTCTTAATATGTTGCTTCAGCAGTTGCCAGACAAATGGACACATTTTGCAGTATCTTCAGTCGTGTCAATTTACATTCAAAGCCAACAGACCTCAGAAATGACTGTTTAGGGTACAATAATTAAGTCATCTTCAAACATTTTATAGAACTATGAAGTGTAAATTTATTGAAGCACTTTACCTACCAGCAAGATGTGTATCATGATGATTCCTTTTTACCATCTTTATATTTCTGTGCACATTCTGCCAAAGTCCATGGCATTGATGCTTCTGTTGCAATTAATTTTGAGGTCATCTTGCTGTCCATTCTTGTGATGGTCTATTCTCATGCAAGTTGCAATTGATGTGTTTCTGTTTTGTATCGCATTATTACAAATTTGGCAATTTGAATGTTGTTTTTCAGGTGGCTCTAATAGTTTTCCTTTCTCACATTGGAAGTTTTGTGCCAGCAGATGCTGCCACGGTGGGATTGACTGATAGGTGTCTGTCCATAATTCAGAATAACAGTTAAATAAAATGTTTGTATTCAATTTCTCATGCTAAAGACTACTCTCTTGTAACAGGATATTCTGTGCATCCGGAAGCAAGCTCATGACTGCAGAACAATCAACATTTATGATTGATCTGCATCAAGTAGGAGTGATGCTAAGGTAAACTAGAATCAGGTCAATTAGGATGGTTTTGCATTTTGGAACTAAATGCAATTGTTCACAACAACTGTCATGCTCTTTAGCAACTGGACTTTGTTGATCTTTTATCACTACGTTCCTTCTTTTGTCTGCCAATTCCACATGGTTTTCATAGAGGATGTTGGAGTGCTGAAGTTTTTTAAAGTTATCTAAATGCTTTAATGGCTGGAAGCTTATGTTACGTCTTTAGAATCCACCTTTGCAATACTATGGATTCTTGTCAACAAATTTTCAGGCAAGCAACTTCACGATCTTTGTGTCTGTTGGATGAATTTGGTAAAGGTACTCTAACTGAAGGTTAGTTTCTCTTTAAAAGGACTTGCTTTTTTATGATGCCTGTTCCTTTCTCCTCATTCTTTAATTCACAATTATGCTACAATCTTGAATACAGATGGCATTGGTCTACTGGGTGGAACTTTAAATCATTTTGTTGCATGTGATGACCCTCCAAAGGTTTGATGTGGATGTCTTGATCTCCCATGAGATTTCATATTTCATACTACTGTAATAGTTCTTTCAAATCTAGCAGGGATAGCTTCAATGAGGATAATTACATGTATGATCATGCTAAGCGATTGTGTTTTCTCAAATATTACTTCTTCATCGTCAATTCCCTTGTAGCATTATTACCATCTGTGATTGATGCATATTTTTATATGTCAAAATATTAAAGTATACAAAACAAAAACACCTGTACTAGTTTCTAAGCATTTGATTTGACTGACTGGGGATTTAAATTGGACTTCAGTTGCATATTTAAGCAAGGGACAAAAAGAGATTTTAAACCCAAGCTTTAATTCAGTGGGATAAAGGTTTATATGATTGGTTATGAGACTTGGTTTAAGTTTTTATAGCCTTTTCAGTGCCAGTAGAGGCTGCTCGTAGTTAGTAGGGTCAAGGGGATTTCTGTAATTTTACAGATTGCTTGAAATTTCAGCAGTATGGTCAAACTTTTATGTTCCTGTTTTATTATTTCTTTTCTTTGAATTGGAGTATGACAGATTTAATAATAATAAAGTGAAGCCATTTGCTCTAAGAGAGTGATGCTTTCATTCAAGGAGTGATTCTTTCAATCTACTTGTGTGAGGCTAGTAGTTTATATTCTGTTTTTCTTCAAATTTTCCTACTTCCAGATCTGTTTTCTGATTCTAAGTCCTTAAAGCACTAAATTCGAAACCCTAATTAATCCTATAAATAGCCAACTACAGATCTTCCCCTAGAATTGTCCTGCATCACTACATCCACCAATTTTTTATCAGTATTCTTTATTCTCGTGTCCAGTCTGGTACTATTTACTAGGCTTTTTAGTGGTCATTCTCACGATTGCTATCATTGATTTTCTTTGGCTGTGGCTAGTTTTCTGTCTACTTATTTTTCAAATTAATTCAGCAAGCAATGCACCAACCTTTGACCTGACATCTGCCATTGGCATTTAAACAATTATGAGACTTAATAGTGGAAACATAGGACAGTATAGGTAAATGGGGCACCTATATACTAAAATTTCTTGAGTTTGTTTTTCTGACAGGTTCTGATGTGCACTCATTTGACTGAGTTATTTAGTGATGGTTGCTTACCAAGGGTATGCATCATTTTTGAGTTGCTTACCTAAGTAACATTTTCTCGCTTTGCTATTGCAGAAGTGATAGTTTTTATTTTAATTTTTAACTAATTCCAGTCTGAGAAGGTAAAATTTTACACCATGAGTATGCTGAGACCTGACAACAACTCTACAGACAACGAGGACATTGTTTTTCTCTATCGGTATATTCTGTAGCCCTTTTACATCATATTACATCAAGCCAACATATCTTACCCCTTGCCAGCACAGGGCTAGCCCCAGTCTGGTGACTGCGGTCCACTTTAAAGTGGATGTCGTAGGATCAAGAGGGAGGGCTGGGTGTTGTGCAATTAGCTAGAATTAGTCACTTCTTTGTACCAAAAAAAGGAAAATAACATATTTTACCATTCAGTGGAATGGAGAAGATTGCTATTGGTTGATATTCTAACTGCTGAAAGTGATTCTACTGATGTTTAGAAGACTGTTTTTGCAGGTTAGTTCCTGGACATGCACTTCTTAGCTATGGTGAGTATAACTATTGTGTACAATCAGGATACATGCTGGAAACTTGCAGTAAACTCACTTTAATCTATGTTTTGCAGGACTTCATTGTGCTCTACTTGCTGGTACATTCAGGACTTCAAAATTTGTTAAAGAAATTTAGTCACAATTATGTCCAAATAACGGCTATATGTTTCTGTGGTTGTTTCCTTCTTTTTTTTTTTTTTTCAAAAAAAAAAAAGAAAAAAAGAAAAAAATTGGGGAAGCTGCTAATGGATGAGTATGATACAGAATTCTTCAGTAAAACAGCAAGATGGTGTAGCTTGTTTGTGTTTGCTTGCGGGACTAACATGTGATAAGTTTAGTTCTCTATAGGATAGACTCAAGTCAAGTAAGCTCTGAACCAGCTGGCATCTGTTTCATGAATCTTCAATAGATCATGATAAACTTTGCACTGGCAGTTAAGGCAAATATTATTTAAGCATGATGGAAGTGTAGTTGTCCAGACGATAGATTTCTAGAGAAAGTAGCCTGCTTAAACAAGTGCTATTGTTGCTTAAAATTCATCAATAAAGGTGGTGCATCATACAATTTACTGATAGACCAGTAAAATTGTTCATGTAGGCATCCCTGAGGAAGTTATTAAGAGAGCAGCATTCATATTGGATTCCGTTGGAAATGGCAATTATGCTGAGCGATTGTGCAATGGGAATATATCAGCGCAGGATCAGCAAAACAAGGTCTTACTTTAAGAATAAAAATTGTAGAATGATAATGAAATTTTGTGTGCATGCAAGTATTGTTCTTATATATGTCGTGAAATTTTGTTCTTGAACTAAATGCAGGAATTGGTGGACAGGATGCTGAAATTTGATGTTTTCAAGGGTGACATCAATCTCTTCTTCCAAGATATATTTGCTTGTTAATCCAAAGAACATCAGAGGTATCTTTTTTTCCGTCCCAAATGTTGTTTTCAAAGCATCACCTTACCATTTACATAATATAAATTTGATTTCAGCTTGATACGTCACTGTCCAATTATATACCTTGCAATAAATACAGTTTCATACTTTTCTACTTGATCAGTGGAAGACAACATTATGTTACACTTGAGTCTTGGTATCTTTTAATGTTAGGTTCCTCCAAGAAGTATGTTGATAAGAATCCAAAGTTTGATCTACTGAAGGACTTGTATGTTTCTCTTTGGTTTGCTTCCGTTTCCCTACAACTTGGAAAACTGTTTGTATTATCTGAATTTAAACGTAGGTGCATGTGCTATTGGTACATAATTGGCTGTTTGTTTGTGTAGCTATTATTGGATATTTGAAAGTAAACTTGTCAAGGGTTTTCAACATGCCAAGTTTCTTAACATGACTTTCCAAGTCTTTCCTCTTAATTGATCGTAGCAATGCCACAAGCTTTACAATCAGCAGAAAAGGAGAGCTAAGATGATAGCCCAAATTACAAGGCAGTATGATTGTTTTGGTAGAAAAGGGAAAGAATGGATGATGATGATGAGGGGAACGGTTTTAAGGATGAGGTTCTTATTTCATACAGTTGGCTGTATACACAGCCAATTGAGGAAGATTACCCGTTCTATCCTTGGCCTACCATTTTCAATTTTTTCGAAAGGATTGAGATGGAAAATGCACTGACTGTCCTTGTGGCAGAAAGAAAAGATCATATGGTGGCGGATCGAACTTATAAAGTATCCGTTGAAATGAGATCCAGGAAGAATACTTAACAGTTATTTACTTCTGTTATTCCGTTCAAGTATTCATTCTTTCGGAATAAGATATTGTGGACCAATTGCTATTTCGGTTTCTGGGCACACCTCATTATTCAAAATCAAATGTAAACGTAACAGTGAAATAGAATGTCATTAATGAAAACAATGAAGAAATGTAGCCTTGCAATTGATGAGAAAAAAGAAATACAGAGGAGAAGATAGAAGAGCTTAAGAGAATCTAAAAGGAAGAGAGAATTTCTGTCAACATAACATTTGATTCCCACACCTCTTGTCACTCTATTATTAGATAACAACTTAGCTAACAAACAGATTCAACTAATTATTTCTCTAATTGCTAACAAAGTAACAAATCCCAAGTAATTTTTTAGTTACTAACAGTACTAACACCTCCTGCCACATTAGTTGCCAATGGTCAACTTTACACACATTCTTGCTAGCTCATTATTAGAAGGGTTGCATCAATACTCACTCTCAAGAAATCTTGTCCTCAAGGTTAGTAGTTGGAGAACATTTCTCCATGTTGAATTAGTTGTTGGAAAACATTTCTCCATGTTGAATCCAAACTCTCAAGTTGCATAAACAGTAATAACATTAGATCATTGAATAAGCAATTTAGCAATAACTTGATTTCCCATCTTAATCAATTTTTTGTCCACATTCTTATTAATAATCTTGAAAGGTCAAAAAAACCTAGGGGATAGTTTCTAGTTAGGTTTGGACACCATTATATGTTGCTTGTAAGATTGCAACTTCAAATACACCTACTCATCAATCTCCAAAACCATGTCAATTATCTTTTTATTGGTCTCCATTTGCCTTTTTTGTTGTGCTTTGCCCATATGATGCTTAAGCATTGTAATAACATTTTCTTTGTCTTGCAACAACTCATTGACCGTTATTCTTTACAATCATTAGACGGATATAGAAGGTGTATGGGATGGGGGGAGCCATAGAGAGTTTCAAAAGGAGATTGTTGAATAGACGAGTGAAATGAATTGTTGTATCAAAACTCAACTAGGCACAACCATTTGCACCATGCTTTAGGGAAAGCAAAAGTCATGCCTCAAATATGTTTGTAAACATCTATTAACTAGCTCGGTTTATCCATTAGTTTGAGGATGATAAGTAGTAGAAAAATGTAAAGAGACCTCATGATAAGCAAATAATTCCATCCAAAACTTACTAAAAAATATTGAATCCTTATCAAACATGATGTTTTGTGATAACCTATGCAATTTATGCATATGTTCCATGAACAACTTAGCTACTAAACTAATAGAATATGAATTTGAGAGAGTTATAAAATGAGCATACTTAGGTAACCTCTCCACCACCACAAATATTACAAACTTACCTTGGGAGATTGGCAATCCTTCGATGAAGTCTATGGTAATTTAGTGAAAATTGTTTGATGTAAAGGTAGTGGATTCAACAATCTTGGATTTGCAACGCTATCATACGCTATCACCTCTTTAAGTAACCCTTCCTATTAGAACAAAGTTGTTAATTTCTTTGCAATACCTTAACTCCGAGTGTCCTCATGTGATAGAATCATGAAATAAGTAAATTAAATTCTTATGTAAGTTACCATCATTGCCAACAACCAATTTGTTCTTTCTTCTCAATTGTCGATCCATCCAAACATACTCAATTGTCGGTCCATCCAAACATACTTTGGATGCACCTCCTCGAAACTTGCAATTGAGATAACACCACCGATAACACAAAATCAAAACCCCTAGAGTGTTGAATCCTTGTCATAAGATTAGTAGATATAGAAGAGACAACAATAGCTACTAGTTGCATCCTTAAGAGAGCTTCGTTACTATATTTTTCTTTCCTTTTTTATACATAATGTCATAGTCATAGCCCATCAACTTGACGAACCAAGTAAATTGACTAAGAGTATGAATTTTTTGCTCAAGTAAGGAGGTGTTTGATAACCTAATTAAGTAGCTTAAAAAATTAAGTTATACTACTTAATATAAAAATCTTGTTTGATAACTTAAATGATCTCATATTAAAACTTTAAGTTCGGTTAAAATCTACTTAATCAAATAAGTTAAAATTTTTAACTTATCCGATTAAGTCAAACTATTTAAAACATACTCTCTCTCTCTCTCTCTCTCTCTCTCTCTCTCTCTCTCTCTCTCTCTATATATATATATATATATATATATATATATATATATATATATCGAATTTATAAATTATAATAATATATTTTGAAAAATAAAATACTCATTTGAAAAGCATAAAAATAATTTATTATATAAATTATAATAATATATTTTTAAAAAATAAAACATCGACGTTATAAAATTTTATTCCAAAATTCATATATTAAAAAAATTAAATTTATTAACAAATAAAATGATATCAAAAATTAATTTGATGAGAATTTTAGTAAGAAAAAAATAATTAAAAAAAATAAATTTTAAACAATAAGAGTAATATAATCGGATACATATGTTCAAACTAAAATCTTAAAAAATATCATATATATTCTATCATCTTCAAACGAGCTTATTATATTTAGTACTTCATTTTCGAGTAAATACCAAACAGATTGTCGAAACATATTCGGTACTTAACGGTTTCAGCACTTAAAATTCAGTACTTAATAAATTCAACACTTAATTTTCGGTTTTATCAAACACCACCTAAGTGCTTAAGACTTTGATGGTCGGTTCTAGCAATGAAAGGCCTATCTCCTAAGTATTGGTGCCATTTCTTAACGAGTAAATAAAATGGCAATTAGCATCTTCTCATATATGGATAATGTTTGGAGCTTAATACTTAATAATGTACTAATGTAGGCAATATGATGACCTTTTTGCATCGAGCATAACTCCAATTCCCGAAACATCAATTTCTATCACAAAGTCCTTATGCATCTTGTGGCCAAACTAATACGAAGTAGTTATCATTGCTTTCGTTAACTCATCAATGGTACAATCAGCTAAGGAATTCCATTGGACCCCATATTTCTTAAGCAAACTAGTTAGAGGTTTAGCAATCTTTCCATAATCCTAGACAAACCTCTTGTAGTATCCAACAAGGCTCAAAAACCCTCTTTAGTTGTTTAAGATTCTATGTTTTTTGGTCACTACTTGTACCACTTTTATTTTCTTAAGGTCAATTTGAACTCCATCTTTATATATAAAGTGTCCTAAATATTTCACCTTTGGAGTGTCAAAGGGTCATTTAGATTGTTTAGCCACAGAATGTTCTCCCTTAACATAGATAATGCAATTTGTAAATGCTCGAACATGCTCTTGTAAAGTTTTACTAAAAACCAATATATCATCAAAGAAGATTAAGATAAAATTTCAAATAAATGGTCTAAAAACATTATTCATTAAAGATTGAAAATTACTAGGGACATTAGTTAAACTTAAAGGTATAACCAAATACTAACGATCATTATGTGTTCTAAAAGCTATTTTGGGGATGTCCGAAATACACATTTTCATTGATGATAACTTGCACAAAGGTATATTTTAGAAAAGATTATTGATCATTACAATTCATTTAGAAGTTCTTCAATGATGGGGATAGAAAATTGATCCTTGATAGTCCTTTGATTAAGCTTCTTGTATTTCACACATATCCTTAAAAAATTATCCTTCTTTTTAACTAACATAACTAAAGAAGAGAAATAACTCACACTAAATTGTATAATACCATTTTCTAGCATCTCTTACACTTGTTTTTGAATTTCATCTTTCTAGACAAAATGATACTCGTAAGGTTTCAAACCTATAGGTTTAGAACCTTCATTCCATTGAATTATGTGATCAAGTATCTCTTAGGAGGTAACCCTTTAGGTTCTACAAAAACATCATTAAACGAGTTCGGTATTGTCACTACTTCGAGAATAGATTGCACTATCTCTACTTTATAATTTTTCATTTCGAATTTTTCAAGATCAACTAACTAATTTAATTACAACCGATTAATATAAAGTTGCCTATAAATGATCTTATCCATTTCATTTTCTTCCTCATTTTTACATAGTTCAACACACTTCTCTTGTAGTGACACATATTTCCCATCCTTTACAAACCTCACTAATATATATATATATATATTTTAAATTCCAACGTATATCCTCAATTAGATATAACCATAATACCCCCGAATCGGTTCGTACATTACCAAATACATTCAAACATAGTAGTTTTGAACTTCTCTTCTTGCATTTTCCATTTGAAGTTATTACACTTATATTCACATATAATGTCTTCAGAATTTGCCGCTCTAATGACCATTGGTTTAATTCTAATCAATTTATAGTGGCTTTTTCTTGTAAATCCCAAATTTATAAAGTTATGAGTACTACCTATGTCTACTACAATATGCATTTTTCCCTTCCATTCATCCATCATTTGATAATGTTCTCTTTTAAAAACATCATATATTGAAATCTTATATAGTTATTCAGCCAAATTCCTCACATTTTCATACTCTCTAAGAACCTATTATTCCTTGGTTACGTCAATCTCAATATCTCTAATTCCACTATCTTTTACTTTTAACATAAACACTTGCCTTTCTATGACAAGACATATACTTATCATCATAAAAATGGCATAATCCCTTTAACTTATTTTCATCTATCTCATTGTTGCTAAAGAGTTTTCTAGTTCTAAACACAAAATTAATATTTTGAAATTGTGCTAGTAATGGTAATATACCTTTTTGGTTATCGTGGCCATTGTTGTGGTAGTTTATTTAAGGTTTTTGATTCATTTGATTAGGTCTAAAGGTACTTTTTGAGAGAGATTTATGTGGCTGATTGAACATTGAGGTATTAAAGGATGATTTTTAGTTGTATATGGGTGAAAGTTTAGTATTGAATCTATGAGGATTAGGCTGAATGTTAGGGTTAGAATCTTTTACTTTGGCCAAAGCCACTACTTCTTTAAGTGTTCTAGGCCTCATGACTTTTACAAGTACTTGTTACTTTGGATTCAAACCCTCTATAAAGC